CACTCCTCCCACTCTCCCCCTCCAGGCCATCTGGCAGCCTCTGCAGGGAGCCGCTGGCAGGACGCAGACCTGGCCTCTGAAAATACAGCACCGTTGAGACTAGCGCCATCAGCGGGAGGCGTGACGCTGGCACCACCCATCTCTGAGCATGGTCCGAAATGCTCCATGTAACCAGGCGCTGGACTCTGGAAGCCCATCTCCGGCCCAGTCCTGGGTATGACAGATCATGCAGCTGCCTCTTCCATTGCAGTTCTGCACAGAGATCATCAGAGATTGGCCAAGACCAGCAGCTCCTCAAACTTGGATAAAAGGACACCCAGAGACCAACAGCTCTTGGGGCGAGACCTCCCAGCGGGATGAACAAAGCCCCAAACGAGGCCGTTCCGTTTTCCAACAGCACGAGACCTGTTAGAGCCGCCTGCGAGGCTGCCACCAGAAACACACAAGGGCAGACCTCGACAGGAGGCGACAAGTGCTTTACGTTGTCACGGAAAGGTGGCACTTGGGAAGCCGCTATGGGGTTGGAGAGGGAAGCAAAACAACCACGTTAATTTATTCATCAGCTGATTGAACCGATTGATTTGTGAATACAAGAGACCTTTCCCCGCCATTTAAAAAAATATGCAGCAGATGAGAGCACAAAGAGACCCAAATCAATTTCTCTGCTCCCATTGGTCAGTTTCTTGCCAATTGGAGCTGAGCGATTTTGCTGGCGGTGGGAGCAACATGGGAAACCCACCCTCCCCGCAATGCAGAGCCACATGGAACAGCCTCTGGGGCTGCTGGCCAGGAGCTGTACCTTAGGTAAGCACCTCCCCCCCAAAACTCCCTCCCCCACCCCTAGCCAGTGCACCTCCCCACTCCTCCCCCAAGCCAGAATCCTCGCCTGCCCCAGCTCACAGCCCCTTCCTTCACCCAAACTCCTTCTCAGACCCACACCGTCTCCTGCACCCCAGGCCCCCTTCTGCACCCACCCATCCCAGACCCCGCTCTCCTCCTAGAGGACAGCGTGGCCCTCGACCATGTACCAAAATCTTGGAGGCCTCCCAATAAGACTCCTGCCCACCTCTGCCTAGGCAGCCTCCACGGCTGTTCCCACAGTTCCCCGTACCGTGGCTTCTAGCCCTTCTAGCGCCTCACTTGCAACTTGTTCTCTGCCAGTCCATGCACCCCTGCTTGGCGTTTGATCCTTCCTTTCCCGCGCAGCCTCCTGCAGGTCCTGAAGAGCGCACTCCAGCTCTGCCAAACGGCCGTGCACTCAGCATGCTGCTAGCTGGCTGGAGGAACACACCAGAGTCCTAGTTCACCAGGGATCATTATTCCAGCTGGAGTGCCACAAACAGCCCGTCAGTTAGACCCTTTGGAAGAGGCTGGTGGAGACGGACCCTCGCCAGAGCAGCAAGCAGGGCAGGATGTGCCTCTAGCACCCGAAGCAGCTGCACTGCAAGGCCAAGGACGCAAAGGGCAGCTTTGGTTGGCAACGCACCCCAAAGGCTCCTGCTATGAGGAGCTAGGCTGTCTGCTTGCCCCCGAGCACAGAGCCCACAGTCTGCCAGGGGCAATCTGACATGTGTCCAGCCGGAATGCAGAGCAGGGAGAAGCAAACGTGAACTAACAAGCAGCGAGTCTCTCAAGCCCTGCGAAACGATCCAACGAGCGACAGGCCTTGCGAGCATGAGTGCGAATCCTGCTCCTCAGGCACCGCCACTCACCGGAACGATGCGATTTACACGGCGGCTAGCGAAGCACGTCCCCAGCAGCAAGGCCTGCAAGGCCCTGGGCTGTACCGAATGGCAGTATCCCTGGGCTGTACCGAATGGCAGTGTCCCCTTTGGGCCTGGAACGGGTCTTCCCTCGGCGTGTGCTCCTGTGATGGGATGGGGGCAAGCGGAGAGACTCTGCTGTGCTGCTACGCTCGGCATCCTGTCGTGCGTCTCATCTTCCTCCCCTCCTGGCAGGGGCTGCTGAGACGCTGCACGAGGCAGGGACTCCAGCCAGGCACCCGGCCCAGCTCTCCAGAGCCCTCCCTGCTTGCTGGTCAGCAGGTACCAACGCATCCCTTGGCCTCTGCCGGGAGACGGAATCCCAGCCCAGGCCTGGGAGAGCTCCCCCTCTCCGTGCTGGGACTGCGAAGAGCTTTCTACCTTCTGGCCCGAAACGGCGTTGTGACCCACACTAGGAACAGGCAGGTCGGTCCTAACCCACTGGCGGCCCCTAAGACCGGCTCTGTCGGCGGGCCCCGACAACCGCCCGGCTCCCCCGCCCCTAAGACCGGCTCTGTCGGCGGGCCCCGACAACCGCCCGGCTCCCCCGCCCCTAAGACCGGCTCTGTCGGCGGGCCCCGACAACCGCCCGGCTCCCCCGCCCCTAAGACCGGCTCTGTCGGCGGGCCCCGACAACCGCCCGGCTCCCCCGCCCCTAAGACCGGCTCTGTCGGCGGGCCCCGACAACCGCCCGGCTCCCCCGCCCCTAAGACCGGCTCTGTCGGCGGGCCCCGACAACCGCCCGGCTCCCCCGCCCCTAAGACCGGCTCTGTCGGCGGGCCCCGACAACCGCCCGGCTCCCCCGCCCCTAAGACCGGCTCTGTCGGCGGGCCCCGACAACCGCCCGGCTCCCCCGCCCCTAAGACCGGCTCTGTCGGCGGCCCCAGACAACCGCCCGGCTCGCCCGCCCCTAAGACCAGCTCGGGTAACAGGTGCTGGCTGGAGTTTCCCCTCAATCTCACTCAGCTAAGCCCCATGTGCAACAAAGGACACATTTAATTCTTCCCAGCGTGTCTGGGGGCTGCCCGAAGCAGGAGCAATCAAAGCTTTCCAGAGCGACGGCACTGCAGGCTGGCAGGGATGCACAACATAAAGCAAAGGGACTCGCCCCTTCTACCCAGGACCAAACAACGCTCTCGGGCGCTTCACCTCCGGGGAACCAAGCCTCCCAGCCAGGACTCTCATGGACAAGACTGTCCCTCGGAGGGGCGTGATGGACATGAGCACGGGGGTCATGGTTTTTTATGCCTCTGCGTGTCCCAGTTTCCCTGGGGCTTTGCAGTGCCATGCACTGAGGGTACAGGGCTCGGCTGATTGACCCCACAGCAGCCTGCTAGGAGACCAGAATCATTAACAAAGTCTGCACATACAACCAGAGGGTCTAGAGGAGAGAATGGAAATCCCACGGCTGGGCCAGTCATGTCAAGCAAGATAGGAGGGAGGAAGGAGACTCCCCTCCCTCTCTGCAGAGCAGCAGAGCAAAGGCCCATGCTGGGGAACGGTTCTGGAGTGGAGATAAGCAGGGGACTCGTTTTCTGTGATCAAAAAAATCTCCCAACACAAAAATAATCTGTTTTGTTTTTCCACGATTAAAATGAAACACTGAACTTCGGTTTCGTCAGCCAGACTATACAGGGGTTTCTGCTGAACATACTGGTTCATTGATATTTCTGATGTTTAAGCAGAGACTACCAGGGCCTTCAATCATTATAAAAAAATAAAACTAATAGAATTGCAATTTGCATTTCTTACCTCTACCAGATACTCTATAGCTGCAGTCTGTATTTTCTGAAAATTGGTTGTAAGCCCAAACTATGAAGCACACATTGCTTTGATGTTAATGTCACTCATGGTCTGAGTTAGTGCAGGAGGCTGAAGTGCAACCTTTGCACGCTGGAGGCAGTTTATTGGCGTACGTTTGGCTATGTGAATTTAAAGCACATTCAAAAATCAACCACAAGATGGGCAGCACACGGAACCAGCCACGCTGGTACTTTCCGTCAAATGCAGTCAATGGGTAACGGCTGGTTTTTTATTTTTCACAAAATGCAAAAACCGAAGATTCTCTGTAAAAATGCAAAGTCTACATTTTTCCATGGCACCCGGATTTCTAGGCTCTCTGGTGACAGGAGCACAACAATACCAACTGGTTACAAATTACAGGCCCCATCACAGCATTGCATCCGGCCATCCCCACCTCCTCCTTTCTAAGGATGTGGGAAAACAGGACATTCCTGACTTCCAGTTCCTGCCTGCACCGAGGCAGTGATGCTGGGTCTACTTTCTGGTTGCCTGTAGCTGGCCTGCAAACCAGTAGTGTCCGAAAGACCACGCCAAGTGAAAACACTCCCCTTCGTCCTCAGCGAGGCTGTGCAGAGTGCAGCAGGCCACAAGAGAACAGAAGGGTGTGGGTCTGTAACAGGGTTTCTTCGGTCTATAAAAGTCCACGCTGGTAGGACATTTGCTCTTCACTTTTGGTTGGAGGTTTACTTGGGATCCCTAGATGGGAAAAAACTTGGCTTTTGGGATCTCATCCATAAAATACTGAAGGCTGAATAATGCTTAAGATGGATGTGTTTGGGGTCGGGGACCCTATTTTCTGATGCACGCACTACATTCCAGAGACTACATCAAGCAGTTCTTACGATTCCCTCCATAACTGAATATTCTCGGATTATTTTAAAAGTTATCCCTGTACAAAGGAATCTGTGTTCTCAAATGCCCTGCAGGATGTAGCTGAATTAACAAACCAGACACACTGGTGGGGAAGAAGGAAACCAGAAAGATGTGCCAGCAGGAGCCATCACTAACAAGTGGCTGCCTATTGATTTTACAATGTGTCTTCATAACTGGTATTTCAGAAATAGGCTGCTCTACAGTACTAAGGCCTCTCTCTAAACCACTCGACCTAGATAAAGCCGCTGGTGCTGAACAAAATTGGACCATAAGATCAATTTCCATTAACGTCAAGTGGTAACACATTACATCTCAATGAACAGGAATGAATTCCTCAGACTGCTGGCACTAGAAGAGGCGAGGCGAGGCGAGGCGAGGCGAGGCAGCGTTGGATGAGCGCACTGAACGGAAAGCTCCCGTTACCCCTTAGCATTTCGGAGGAAGGCCTGGGATCACAGGGGGAGGTTTTGCTGAGAGAAAACACCAAGTGATCAAAGCCACATGGTGCAAATCTGGTCACCATTTCCATGACTGTTCTAGAGCACGAGCTGTGTGTTGGGACTGGTGGCTAGGAGCACTCCAGCTTGGCACAGCTGGGTTGGTCACTTCTCTGCTAAGAGGCAAGTTCTCCAACAGCCTAGTTCAAACGGAGCTGGGAAAACTCAGCCACGTTTTGAGAAAACCCCACAGATACTCGGGAGTCACAGAGGTGACATTAATCTTACCACGTAGTTTAGAAACGTGCGTCTGTCTGCCTGTCCATCCGAGAGTCGGTTTGTTCAAGAACTACTTCTAAATGGCAAGAGCTAGGACCACACAATTTGGTCGGCAGCTTCCTCTTATGGGGGTTTGGTTGTGCCAGGACACCAGGCTATGTCTGCAATGGGATCACGTCTCATCAAATGGAAAGGGAGGGGTTTGGCAGGAGGCACGGTTCTACTGCAGAATGACCCCAGGGGGCAGCAAGGGATGAGAGAGGGGGACCAGGACAGCTAGAACCCCATTGGGCCAGGGCTAGAGAAAGGGTGATTGCCTATCTCCTGGAACTGGAAGCGACCTTGAAAGGTCATTGAGTCCAGTCCCCTGCCTTCCAGCAGGACCAAGTAACATACCCGATGAATTTTTGCCCCAAATCCCTAAATGGCCTCCGTAAGGATTGAACTCACGACCCTGGGTTTAGCAGGCCAATGCTCAAACCACTGAGCTACCCCTACCATGTATTTCAGAGAGTTCGTGTGGCTGTGTGTGTGTGTATCCATCTGTCCCCCAGCCAGGGGACATGCATCCCGCCCCTAGCTGTGCCCACTGCAGCGGCCATGGAGAGGCGCTCGGCACCTGGCTCCAAGCTGCTGCTGAGACAAGGCTGGGGCAGTCCTCTCTCCCCAGGGCAGCCTGCAGACTGACCCCTCCCCCCCAGCCTCAGCCAGAACAATGATTTAAATGAAGAGAAACCAAACTCAGCTGAGCAAAGGAGCTGGTCAATCCAGGATTACACAAGCAAAAGTAGTCAACCCCCCACCGGGCCTGGCTTTTCATTCACACCGAGAGCTTGTCCGCTGCTCTGGGAACGTCACACTTAAAGATCCCTACACAGGGCCAGAGCAACAAACTGTAAAGAAGCATGTGACCCCGTGATGTCAGCAGCATGGGTTACAGAGAGGCTTTTAATGCCAGGGCATACACGGTCATCTCCCTGGGGAGAGCAGCTAGATTCAGGGGCGTTAATTAAATGTGATTTTTACAATTAGTTTGGATTCCCGGGGGCGTTCCTGTACCCCATGAATGATTTTGTGAACACATATGAACTGTGGCATCCATGAACTAATTTACGCTCCCTGAAGTACATCATCACACCCACTGCAGCTCCTCCAAGCACGATGGCTTCTTGAGATCTGTGTGCAGCTGTGGAACCTGGTGGTCAGCAGGTAGCATGGAGAAGGAGGAAGGAAGGAAAGAAACTACCCAGCCAGGCTGCACTCAAACATCAGCGCAAGCTCCGAGACAGCACTCCTGGAGAAGACTCTCGACACACTTACCATCTGTGTGGACCCGCATAGCTGAGGCAGTGATGTCAGTTGTGATAGTGAAGTAAGGAATCCACAGATCCTGCAATACAAGAAGTGTCAGTTTTACCATCAGCAGTTCCCCTGGACACCGCGACAAGCGATTCGAACAGTGACATGAAAGCAGCACACACTCACCTGGCACGCGAGTACCTGACTGCACGCAGGGACGAAATGCCAGCCCTGTGGGGGGGGAGGGGGCTGAAAATCTGACTAAAGCAAACCCTGTGTATAGCCAGCGGGATGGAAAGCCATGTTCCCTTTTCCCAACACTACCGAAATCCTATCGCCAGGAAAAGCAGCTCACAAGAAGGTGTCAGTCTCAGCAGACAGCACAGTGCTGCAGATCAGTAACGCAGGCTGTAAAAGTCCACGGCTACTCGTCTGCCAGTTATGCTCTCTACAGCACCAGCACTCTTGACACCAAAACCTCTTGTGCATTTACAGGGGAGAAAACGTGGAGGCCCAGGGCAAACAATCCTTTAGACGAGGGTTTGCCCCGTGGGAGCCCTGAGAGCAAATCTCACTGTTACTTGTACGAGAGTCGCGCGTACACGCAGGCCTGCATGTGCCCACGTTCCTCCCAATGTCTTTACTGGCACGAGCCGTGAACAGGTGCTGGCAACATGAATGTGTCTGTCTGTAGGGCAGGCGTAACAGTGAGAAAGGGGCAGCTGGGTTCTGTAACGGTCCATTTTGTATCAGTGTCTATTGCTGAGGCGGTGACAGCTGATGTATCTGGTGTAACTTGCTGGGGTGGGGGCAGAGTGAAGTGGTGGTTTGGGGCAGCTGAGAGAAGATGGCTGGGGAGATGGGGCCGCATGCCTTCCTCCCTCCCTGTGCTCTGGGGCCGGGCGCCCTCCCCCCTCCCTGTGCTCCAGGGCCGGGGAGATGGGGCCAAGCACCTTCCACTCTCCCTGTGGTGCTGGGGGGTGGGCCTGGGCAGAAGGGGTCGGGTTGGGGGAGCTGGGGCTGGCTTGCCTCCCCTAGCCCTACCTTCACCCACTGCCCATGGCTGCAGGGTGCTGAACTGGGCCTGACTTAGCTCCCAGCCAACTGGATTCATTTGGGAATCCAAACACAAGAGATCACTCAGCTATTTACGGTAAGTCCAAGTTCCATTCAAATGGCATCAAAGGGAACTCCCCCCTCCCTGTACGGCAGAGGTGGGAGAGCTCAGGCCAGGAGGCCACGTGAGACCCCTGGCTTTACTGGGTCTTGCGCCCAAGGCTTAGTGTCCCCCACCCCCAGTATTGGGGAGCTGGTGCTGGTTCTCCAGCCCCACACCTGTCCCCCCATGGGGCTGGAGCAGGGCTGGATTAAGGGGGGGGGCTAGCTGGGCAGCTGCCCGGGGCACCAACCTATGGGGGGGGCCTGATGGCAGCTGTAAGGGGTGTTTCACGCCCGATTGCAGCTGTAAGGTGCGCAGTGCGCCGGGGGGCGGGGCCACGCATGCTTTGCACACGCGCTGCCTGGGACGCAGGAATGGCTCGAGCCGGCCCTGGGCTGGAGCACTCAAAATCTACTAGGCTCGGCTTCCCAGGCTCTGCTGTGTGAGGAGAATGTGCGGAGTGTCTCTCTCCTCAGTCAGGGGCCACAGCAGTGAGGAGTTTGGGGGGAGGGGGGGGTTCCTCAATTGTGTGGCCCCCAATTGATTTTTCTGTGGGTCAGTGGCCCCCCAAAACCAGAGAGGTACCCCCCCACTGCATGGTGTCATGTTACATTACCCATTTCAGCATGCTGTACTTCAGACCAGAACACCTAACCCGGCATGGAAAGTTCTGGTTCTCTGTGGCTGTCCAACGGGAGGAGAACATGGATTTCACATACAGCAAACATGCGAGTTACCTCGATCTGTTTGTCTTTGAAGATGTTGCTGATGCCTTTGTTAAATGACGCTCCAGAGAACATGGAGGTTATTGGGTAGGTCAAATCTAGCACAGTCTTAAACATTGAATTCATATCCTAAAAGGAGGAAGAATATTTCATGTGTGAGTTCTCTGGTGGAAACTCACAGAAACCCTATTCATCTGCATTTGGAGTGAGGTTCTGGTCCAGCTTTCAAAGCAAAGTAAAGAGAGCTACTCTGCTGAACAGGCTTCAAAAGAACCAAACCCACAACAGTGAGGGTCATAAACAGTATCACTTTGTTGAGCACCATAGATTAAAGTAACTTCAAACGCTGAATTTAACTTCTATTAAGGATACAGAAAACCATTTGGTGTCATTACTCTGTTTGAGCCTGACACTGAGGGTGCATCTACACAGCACCCTCAACTCAAAATAGGATACGCAATTTGTGCTACACAAATTGTGTCTCTTATTTTGGTTGCATTTTGAAGTAGCTTATTTCAAAATCTGGCACATCCACACAGCACCACATTTTGAAATAACGCGCTATTTTGAGACATCCTTAACCCTTGTGGAGCGAGGGTCACAGGGCTGCCGGAATAGCACACTTGTTACTTCCAAAAACATTTCAAAATAACGGGCACGTTTCAGAGACGCGGGGTAGCTATTCTGGGTTAGCTCTGGGATCCTGAAACACCCCGCTGTCCAGACGATGACGTTTTAGTGTTGTAGGAGAGCAGTCTCTAGCGTAACGGGGAGGCCAGGGGACGTGGTGAACGTGGGTAGAACAGGGCACTGTGTGTGTGGGGGGGGGGTTCTGGCTGTACTCTTGGCTCTGCCACTGGCCCACTCTGCCACTTTTGGGCAAGTCTGTAACCCCTTTGTGCCTCAGTGTGACACTTCTTACATACACCCGACCGGCTCTCCAAGGGGTGTCACGCCTAATTCAGTCATATTTTAAAGAGCTTCCAGGGCCCCTTTTTATAGAAGTCCAAATCATTTTTGCCCCTAAATCAATCAGAACATTAGTTAAATGTTTTCCTAAAAACTGCCGCGTAGAAACGAGGATGATGGGCCCTTCAGAGAAACCAGAGCACAGTGTCATCTAGTCCACCTAGATAAATGCATTTAGATTGGGGAGATGGACAGGCACCCTCGAGTATCTTCAGTGCCATAGGCCCAAACTAGAATTCAACTTCCATGGAATTTTTTAGGTCCAGACATGCTCCATCTTTGTGCTAAACAGCTTCCTTCATTGAATGTGCTAGTTTATGCATGTCATTGGAAAATCAGGCAGCACGCAATTCACTGGGACAGCTGCATTATCTGGGTACCCAGGGAAGCAGAAAGCAGAGACACTTGCCACTGGATAAACTGTCTCTTGTTCCCTGAATAATCCTGAACAAAGGCTACTCCCAGCTAGTGTGGTCACCCGACTCTGATTAAGCTGCAGAGAGTCAGCTGAGGCCATTAATATGGTCACCTGACTCCGTTGGCAGGCCCCAGCCACACAGTTGAAACGCTCCCCCTCCAGTCAGCCGCAGGGCACAGAAGCGTTGCTGAGGGCCTGGGTGATACAAACACCAGCCACAGGGAAGGGAGCCCTGAGTCCAGGGGGAAGTGGCCCAGGACGTGTAGCAGCCCCGGTGGTGACGGGAAAACGGTCAGTGGCTGCGGCCCCCAGGGTCCCTCGACTGGAACCCAGAGTAGAGGGTGGGCCCAGGTTCCTCACAACACTCCCTGATCTGCTCCAGGGGACTGGTAGCACAGATGGCTGAAGTGCCGTCCCCTG